AAACACGGACCGTTTACCTTGACTTAAAATTACGGACCTTGGGTTTGAACATTGTTAAAAACATTTGTACACAACTGAACAAACATATAACATTGTTACATATTACACCAATAGCCCGAATGTTTTTAACAATGTTCAAACCCAGTCCGTAATTTTAGTCAAGGTAACGGCGTGTTTCATTTGGTTGCCTGTAAATGGCGTCATATACCTTTAGCCTCTAGTTGCTATAACTTCAGGGAAAAAGGGACGAGTTAGTGTATTAAAGTTTTATTACTTACGTTCGCAGACTTCCTTCATAATGTATCCTGTATCCTGTTTTATGATTTCAGCCTGAGTCATGTCAGATAGATTTGCATTGGCAGTGGTGGTTGTTTAAAAATGAAGACAACAACTCTCATGATCCTACGGTTTTGTAATAACTTTTAGTTTTAAAATTCTGGTGCTTAATAAACTTCTCTCCCCATTTGTACTGTAATTTACAGTGAACAGTGAATTCTTGCAGGGTGTGTTCAAGCACATAATTTGCTCCTTTTTTTATTTTTTATAAAATTTTCAGTGAAAATCTGTAAAAAAAAAACAACAACTAACAAACAAGGCCTTTGCTGATGCAAAAATTATGCAATAAGTGAGTATTAAACAGGTGTGACATGAACTTGTGCCACCACTCTTTGGGCCAGACAGTTAGAAATTCCCGGAGTGCAGTAGTAAGATGCTTAATTTCCCTTAACTTTGCCAAAAGTCTAGGAAATATAAAGGGCCTTCCTTTACTAATACATTACAGAAATTAATCAAATTATCAGTGGTAGTATTTAGAGTGGCCACAGTTAGTTCAGGGACAGGAAACACTATTTACCTGTATCTTACTGAAGAAGATTTTGTCCCAGATGCTGTCACTGCGAATGATCCCACTGCTGACTTCAGCACCTTTTCTCTTGGCAGCGAAGTTAAGCAGCCAACGCTTCAACGGGCTGTTAGCCTGGCTGAAGATCTGCAGACGAGACAAAGACATTATACAAATATTTGTACAGTGGCTTCCTGTTCCAGCTGTTACAAACATGTAAATTTATATATGTAAATAATTTGCCCTCACCTAACACCACCGTAAGTGCCAAAACTCCATTGCTCTCCTCACATTTTTCTCTGTAAGTTTTTTATTACACAATATGCATTTCTGGGAAAACCAGACTTTCACAGCCAATTAGGCAGCACTTCACTGTATCCCTAAACCACAGCTACAGTACTGGATGAAAAAGAGCTTAATATGACTCATAAAGGCAGTGGTAACCAATTTTACTAGATTTTAAAACCACAAATCCCTCTTAGAGTAGGAGTCTTTTCTAAACAGTAACCACATCATCAGTCACAGCTGATTGTAGTTAAATTAACTATACAGGCTTCATCGCCAGCAGAACAAGGAAATAACACTTTCTTTCAAAAGCCTTTTCTTCATCTGTTCATCTCACCTTGTCGTACATGCGGTTGAGCAGTCGAGGCACCACAGGGAAAATTGTCGGCCGCAGGGTCTTCATGTCATCTGGGAGGAGACGGATATCGCCCTGATAGAACCCAATCCGTCCTCCATGGCAGTACACCACCGACTGTGGAGACAGGCAAACAAATAATGAGCCTAATGCTATTAGCGATCGGGTATCTTTTACAGACAACATCCCAACACAGATTTCAGTTTTTAGATGAAACTTAGTTGATAGCAATTCATGGAGGTGAACTTTTTTCATGTAGCACTTTTCAAAACGATAGTTCAAAGTGCATTAGGGCCCAGATAAAGACAGAAAAAAATAAAACCTTTATATTTATAAGATTCTGTACATAATCCGGTGGATTACTCAGTGGCCATATTAGCACTAAACTTTACTGTGTGATACACTGAATAATTGATACATCACAAATAGTGAATTACTGATAAACCTATGACCACTCGTTGATCATTCTTGTGAAATACCCGTTTGTGTATCAGTCATCATGCTTGTCGTAAATCGTGAAGGTTCCCATTCTCCTACTCTCAAATCTGGTGTCACTGAACCAAAAGAGGATCCCTGTTTGCATATATGTTTCATTGTTTTACTTTGTGATGTATTAGAAATTGTTCCATTAATGTTGTTTTTGTCAAATATGTGAATGATTCTTAGAAACCTTCGATGCGTACACACTTTATTGTACTATATTATAAAAAAGCTAAAATAAAGAGTATAGTGTGGAAGCTGTTCTTTGTTTCTATCAGTGTACTCATTACTCAGATTCTTCATTTAATAAAAGTACAAGTATAAAATGTAAAAAGTCATTTTAAAATATTTAAGCCAGGTGAAAGGTGGACAACTTTGTTTTTTGTCTCTTTCAAGTGAACTGAAATGAATTGAGTTGAACTTGTTTGATTGTGCAACAAGGCACTCTACTGTATATGTCGAAGCACGAGAGTTACACTCATACATGAGAGGAGATGCCAGCACTCACACAGGATTAAATAAAGTAAGGAGCAGAAGAAGTGACTCATTTATCAGTAATCATCTAATAATGATCAGTAAAAGCGCTGACTGCTGGCTACTACTCATTTCTACTTCAGGATGCTGCACCCAGGGGGTAAAAGATATGACTGATGCTCCTGGTTACATTTGAACAACTCTGACTCAAATCAACAACCGAAAAAACTGTGTGTTTTGCAAACTGCAACGACTCTTGTATAAACTGACAAGTGCAAATACAAAAGATATTTTTAATGAGATTAACTGTATGTCGAGTGTGTGTTTTTTTTTTTCCCCACACACACACACAGAAGCACCACACACCCCTTTACAGGTCATTTGCATGTGACACTTCCACAGACTGAACATGGACTGAGGATACACTCAGCACACATTTTGCAGTCAAGTGGCTGTGAAAAATTGCACCTAATGTGACCAACTTCTTGTTTCCAAAGTCATCTGAGTATAGGGTGAAGCACAAGGTCCGCCCTTTCTTTTCTCTTTGATTGAGACATCACTGGTGTGAGATATTGAGTGGTGTGTTTTCGTGTCTCGATTGTGTGTGACTTTTGAACTTGCTTCTATTGTGTGATCTGATGCTCTGCTTTCTGGGGAAGTTAGGTGGTTTCCTGTGTCTGCCTCTCACGCTGCCGACAAAGCTGCTGCAGGCAAACAAACCAGGCTGGTTCAACCTGATGCAACCCAGTTGGCAAATGACACCCATACATGAAGGCACAGACACACACACACACACACACATATATATATATATACTTAATGATCCGCTTAATGAAATAACAATACCTTAGATTTAGTATTAAAAGGGTTCAGAAAGGTTTAGATTAACTGAAGGAGATGAAAATGCAGTCTCAGCACAACCTCTTTCAGTTTGTTTCGTCTAAACAAACACCCAGAGCCTTTGACTGACAGGAATTGGCTTCACAGATCCTCAGGAAAAATCCTCCAGACCCTCCAGACCTCCACTTAGTAAAAACTTGCATGGAACCTGCTGGCATGAAACTAAAACTCTAAAGTGGTTTAGTTTACATATTCAGTTCTGTTTTGGAAACACCAAATCCTGAACATCAAGGAACACGTTTTCTTCTCAAAATAAAACGTGCCCTTCATTTGTTCTCAGAAGGATGAAGTGAAATGAGCAAGCTGACCAAACTACCACTGCAAGAAACAAAAAACTGATAAGAAACAAAAAACAAAACAGGAAACACTGGCAAGGGTGGGCTATAGGGTTGTTACAGTTGCTGATATTTCTCGTGTGCCATGTGATTGAGTATTGTTGTCGAGGTGCTCTTGTAGACTGCGGTTTTGACAGCTGACTAAGCAGACACAAACACCAAGGGTCGCTTAAATAACCTGATGCAACCTTTACTGTTTATGTCTTTGTGTGATGTGGGTATCGCTTTGCATGTGTGTTTTCTTGTATCTGAGGGGAAAAATTGTCCTTGTCAGGACGCAGAAATGTATCAGGACGACATGCCATCCTTTTCGTCTTTAAGGTTTAGTTTGGAAATGCAGCGCTGAATGTTATTAAAATTAAAAAAGTCATTCAGTTTATGTAGATGCAGGTAACCTGTAGTTACCTGATGTCATGTAAAAGGCAACCCTGTTTCCTGTAATTAGGAGGAGGGATTCAGAAAAACTTGTGTACAGCTATATTTCTGGAGGAAAACCCTAAGTTCTTAAACATGTACTAAAAACAGATTTCTTACTGGGTTTTTACAGGAGCAAACATGCACATGCACGACAAAGCAGACAGGGAAAGTTCCCTGCTGGCATCAGTGCTGTGGGACGAATGGAATTAATTTAGCTTTCTGACTAAAACTGAAACTGAAAAGTAGTTTTCCACATTTGAACAGTAGATTATTTGTAAAATTCAGACACTGCATGGACCAATGGTGCATGTTCCCACTCCTCTGCCATTCCAACTAATCCAGCAAAAACTGAACCAAATGTCATGATCCGCTCCTGGC